GGTAAAAGCAACAGGCCAGAATACTGTGCGTTATACCCGAAAGAAACGGCATAAACTCCTGTAAAACTAACGCCAAGTGACAAACAGAAAAGGCTCTCGCTCGTCCCGAGCTGCCGTGTCCCCTTCAGCAGCGTCGCAGGCACGGCACCTCCGCCCGTCCCGGCTGCTCCGGTCGGTAGCACCCAGGGGGCCCTCGCCTCCTCCGTACCCCCCGGGGTGGGGCTCGCCCCGTCTGAGGCCGGCCAAATTCTTCTGAAACCGCGGTCAACTCCAAGTGCTGTAAGCAGCCCTGGCCTGCGGGTTTTGGCTGGACTCCGAAGGAAACGGGCCCTGCGAGATCCCGAGAAGCATCCCCCGGCGACTAAGTGATCCACGCGTCTCTCGGTGAAACTCACGGTATCTGTGTGGGCTGCAAAAGAAAAGGGCAGAAAACTTATGCAAATCCCCCCTCCCCTTCTTTTTTATACCATTTTCTCTCGTGTGACAAATTCCTGTAACTAAAAGGAAAGAAATCTCCCTCGGAGCAGCCTGGAAATCCTCTTCAGCTATGCAGAAGACAAGAACACGCTCCATAAATCGGGACGGGGATTTCTCTTCCACATCAGCGCAGTCACCTGGTCCTACAACCAAATCATTCTGACAAAGACCTCTGGGCTCGAAACACAAGAAACACCTCAGAGCAGCCATTTCTGCAGGTTGGCAGATGGTGGTTTATTAGTCTGAATAATAAAATGGGATTTTGCTGAGGGAGCCTTCTGAAGCATCGCCTTCCCGCGCAGCATCTTTCACGTACCACCGATTTCCGAGGTTGCGCTTCCGTCCCGCCGGCGCAGCGGCAGCCGTCCGTCTGTCCGTGCTCTGACAGCCCGGAGAGGACACTTCACACGCCGCTGCTGAATAAGCCAGCTATTTCCCCTTCTCACTGCAATTAATGAGGTCCGATCTGTACGACAGCCGCCACGCGAGAGGTCTTACCTCGGGCACAACCTTTCTTTCCGAGAACTATGAAAAAAAGCCGTGCGAATAATACATGAAAGCCTGAAGCCCCTGGAAGAAACCAGCCCTGTTTTGCACTGTGAATATCAATCTACCTAGGCCTGAACTTCCCTTCTGCAGTTTAAAAACTTGAAAAGGGAAAGGACTTCTTCTATTTTGAATATAGATGGTTGGCATCTTCCTAAGGTACTGGTTATAGCTGCTGGAATCTCTGCCTTAATTGCAGTTCAAATGATGACAGCCTCAAACTGTCTTTTCAAAGATACCTCTGTCTCAATACTTTTAAAGAGTTAACAACTCAATTTTGTCACGTGAAAACCTACCTGCTGCTCTGGCAGAAATTTTTAAAGCAGTATTTTAACAAGCTCTCGCCCGGTAACACGTTGAAGTTGCAGTTTGCTGTTAACACAGGTTCCTCCCAGGCACTGCCATTCTCCGAGCCGCTCCAGCGCCATTTACAACTGTCGGCATTGCCAATCGCAAGCCGTTCACCCTAACAGCTGCCATAGCAAACTTCCATTAATTGAGATTTTTAGCGCTCTCAAGGGGTCCTTAAATGGATCGTAGAGTTTTTTTCAAGACTCTTGCTGATGAAATGTATTCGTGCTCTCTACGAGAACTTGAATTCAAACTGGCCACTTAATTCCGATTTCCTCGCCTAGCTGAAAACTGCCAAGAACACCCTCGGAGAATGTAATTCTTGGCAGAACGTAGTAAACCAGAGGTTTGGCCGAGACCCGAAGCCAAACTGAGCGATACAAACTTGTCTTGTCAACGCAGTGCGCTGGAAACTTGGCCTCTTAATAGCAATTTTCTTTTCTGCTTTTTTTTTTTTCTTTGAAAAACATCATTTAGGGTTCTCCATGACATCATGTAGCATTACTATCAATAATTACAGACCAAATACCAAAATCCATACCAGGTTAGCTGTTCTCTACAAGTTCCAATCCGGACTCACTCTTCTCGTAAACGGGCAACCAGAACTGCGTAAAAATTGCCGTCAGCTTTTTGGACCAGTACCACCAGTACGAGCCACCTCCAGCAGCGAACTGGAGCGTGGGGCACGGCGACCCAGGCTGGCTTTCCTTCCCCGAGCCCCAGCGGGACTCGGTGGGTCCGTGCACAAGCACCCGTGCCCATCCCGCACCCCCGCCATTTTGTGGCCACGGGCAAGCGGCGACTCCAGGTAAATACCAGCTGCGGATGCGAGGCTGTACTTGGTCAGATGAGAAACCCAGCAATTGTATCCAAGGACGCATTTTGGAGCGGATGGTCTCAAAACTTATTAAAGACAGATGGACCAGAAGCCAGAGCTCTTTTTAAAATATGCACCTGCACTAAATTAACACGGCTGAGGTGTTTTTTTTTTTTTAAGTGTCTAGCGCAGACCCGAAATCCTCACCAGCTCAGAAAGCGCTTCTAGGTAAAGAAGAGGAGAGCGGCTGCCTCCTGTTTGCCCGGCAGGGAATCCCTCAGACACCTGTTCTCAAAAAGCCAAGCCCAAACGGTTGCGTGTCCGTGACAGAGGGGCTGGAGCTGCCACCCGGACGCTCGCCAAAAGTCCTTGGAGCACTGGAAACGCACTCCTTCCTCGCCCCGGCGTCTCTGCAAGCCGCGCTCTCCGGTGCTAACAGCAGGACCTCCGGTTTTAAAAATCGAGTTAAATATTTCATTCAAATGAACTTTTTTTCCCAGGCGGCAAAGGTCATGCCTGGGATGTAAACGGCTCTTCATTCTGCAAAAGATAAAAATGAAAAAAACCAGACCCTCCCACGTGAATCAAACCAGAAGAAGACTCGTTACGTTAAAGATTTTATTGCTACGTGCTCCCCAATACAACAAACAGTATCAGTAGTGTACACTTGATAGGAAGAGGAATTAGCTCGGTAGAAGAGAAATCAAGAAGGTACAAGGATTATCTACACCCACGTCGTATATATGTAAAAGATCGAGAGAGAGAGAAAAGAGAATTAGCCTTTGGGGGCATTCTGAAAAACAAACACACCCTATTTGTCTGTTTGAGGCTCAGGGATTGTCTGTACACTCGGTTTAATGCTCGTTTCTCGGACCTTCGGAAGCCTTGCAGAAAGGCAGCAGCAGTTCGTTAGCGGTGTCAGCGCTTCAGCGGCTCAGATCACACCCGGCACGATGCAAGACGCGTCTTGCACAGCGTGACCCTACGCCTCCCCGAACAAGATTAACCTACCGACACTCTCCTTTACTTTAAAAGTCTTCTGACAACAATTTTCATCCTCCTTTCTTCCCGCAAAATCGCTACAGATGCTTCTAGAATTTAACCTTTGGCGTCCTAGTGTAGTTTATAGCGTTTCAGAAGTATATATTCGCTGTTCTTTTCAATGGGTCGATCATGAGGACTTTTTACAGGGAAGCAAAAATTGCACGTGAAACTTTAATAACCTATTTAGAACTGAAAGATGCCTGTAATAAAAACCTGTCATAAGACCTTTTTTTTTTTTTTTTAAAGAATAAGATCAACAATTTCTCTACAGTAGTTTAGTTAGCTTAAATTTCTGTTCTATCCATATGACATAGCATGTACAGGTATCTAATTACATCTCTCTATTTTATCTTGGCAAAAAGAAGAGTCGACTGCCCTTAGTGTAAATATTTAGTACATAAAATACTATCAAGAAATCAACTTTTAATAAATATCTTTAGTTCTCAATCCTATATACAAGTACTTTACAGCAACACACAGGAGAGAGTGCGATCGGGCGGACTGTGAACGAGATGGTTACGGACATAAATTACTCGTACGTTATTGCAGTCAGATGCATTGTGGTTGCGGAGATTTTGAGGTGCACCATGCTGAAAAATAAATATCTCTCTCACCTTTAAATCCATGCTTCCAGTAGGAAAAAAAAAAAAAAAAATTCTATTTGAAGTCTTGCCACAGCTATTTCTTGTTATTCTACCTCTGTGATGCTTTTTCAGCTTCGGAAATAACAAACGGATCATCTGGGAAGCAGAACTCCTTTTTGACTCGTGAACCTTACAGTACTTACAGTATATACACGGTTCCCTACCCCGGTCGGACCTCTTCGGCCAAAGGAGCCCTAAGGGACGGCACTGCTGCTCCTCGCCCGCAGCAGCCTTTCACAGACACCTGAAACCATTTTTCCAACCCGTGACTGGAATTAAAAGTTCCTAAACCTGCTTTTAACGGGTGGGTGGCTGTAAGGAGACTCATACCTTTAGATTTACACTTTTTTTCCCCCCCCTCTTTCAAAAGAAAGCATCACATTGTTGATAGTCAAAAAAACCCCCTTTCCTAGTGTCAGCAGATGTAATTCGTGTGAAAACCAAACTCCTCCTTTTATAATAATGCTGCTTTAAAAATCAACTCGAGGAATGTAAATAAGGCAGTACTCAATGGCAGGCACCTAGCAATTGTCCAGAACGCAACAACATAGGCAAACAGTTGTCTGACAGCACAAAACTCTTAAAAATAATACTGATTTTCTGCAATATACAGTATTTACACAACAGCTGCAAATTCGCTCATACAATATCCATTTATGTAGATAAATTAGCACAACAAGTCTTATGGATTCAGTTGTTCCATCGCAAAAGTATTTTGTATGGTGTAAACGTTTGGTACCTCTTGTAGCGGGGCGTTTTCTACACGTGAGCGTTTAAAACCAAAAATAATGAGGCGAGTGCTGAGGCCAGGGCCACTTTTCTGTACTAGAGCCGGACTGACACCCTCAGCAACTTCTGCTCACTGTTAGCAATACTCTTTGGTGCTTTCCTCCAAGGCGTTCAAGCTAGCCAGATAACGCAGCGCGGGAGGAGGACGGGAGCAACGAGAAAGTGAACCAGCACTTCTTGTTCTTTGTATTTACAAGGAAAACGAGTTGATGACCTGCGGTGCCCTGCTTGTGGAAAGCAGCGTGCACCATAGCGTCCAGAAGTAAGGACATTACACCCAAAGCGCCAAACAAAGCCTCTTCCAATGGCTATCCTCCACAAGGCGTTCACGTTCATCTTTCCACAGCGGAGGACCTCGGAGTTCTCTTCTCAATGTGCTTCTTGCTCTTCCTTGAGGTTCTCGATGGAGAAGGAGCACCCGCTGTGGTGTTACGAGCCGGCACCGCAGGCACGGCTGCTGCCGACGCAAGGGCGTTGCGAGGACCGAGACTGCTGCTGTTGGCAGGGGCCAGGGGTAGCAAAGCAAACAGCCTAGAAGCCTTCCTTGCTTGAGGAGCTCTCCATTGCGGAAACTCAGCACCTTTGGGCTTGGCGTTGGGCGGGGAGACGCGCGTATCTGCGTCCTCTTCCGCAAAAGGAAGCCTGCCCAGAGAACTTCTCCCGGGCGGGAACGGCGTGTAGCGGGGCACTACGGGTGTTGGCATCATCAAAGCCCTAGGCAGATCGCTCTGGTCGAACATCGCTTCCTCTTGCGTTTCAGCGGCTTCGGTAAGGAACGGCGGTGGGAGGGTGCTGCTGCGCTTGCTGCAGGACTCGCAGCACAGCTTGTTGTAGCCCGGGATGGAACAGTAACGCGCAAGCACTTCCATTTGACAGAAGATCGATTTGTCTCCCATGCAGGGCTCGTCTGCAAAACAAACGTCATGTTGATTGTAAACCAAGTGAAGAGCACCGAAATGCCCGGACAGCGTTTAGATGGGCACCGATAAAGTTCTGCCCGTGTTTCACAAACGATGGGCTACTCTGAATAGGCGACCCGAGATGCTTCATCCCCTGACAGAACTCACCGCCACCCTGACAAATAACCCTAGCTGGGAACCAAAGAAACCGGCGGTCGCGCTGAAAATGACAGCTTCTGTGCACGTCACAAGCGAAGAGCTGTGGAAAGGCACGTTATATTTGGGGAGGGCCACAGACAACGCTTTCCAGTGCTAACCTCCTTGAGCTCCCACATACCAGGCCGGGTGCAAGTTCTGCCCACCCCAAATCACCTTTGCTTCCAGCCTGAGGACATCATCTATCAACAGCATTAAAAATAATGACGTCTTCCCTTAAAGAAATTAAATCCCAAGCAATCTCTCTCAAACATGCCTTTTAGATGATGTCTTAAAATAAAATGTCACAGTTGGATAAAGTTTTATTTGGATAAAGTCTGAGTTTTTCAGTGGAGAACTGACGGAAAGCTTTTAACAGACGTAAGATGCCTTGAAGTTCAGTGTGTGGCACTCCTTTCAGTCAGGGAAAAGATCTTAAAGAGGTCAAAGATCTCTTAGAGATCCCAAAAATGTCAATGTTTCTTTGAGCATTTGCTGGATGTTTGTTCCACAAAGAGAGACGCAGCGGTCACGCTGGACAAAACTGGGAAAGGAAAGCAGAAACGCAAGAAGACAGAAGGAAAATCGGGCTTTGCTATTGAGCTAAAAGCACATCAGTACTCGGGCTCCGCCAGACGGCCACGTGAACTCAAAGGTGAAGTCCTAACTTTTACTGTTACCAGGACTGGGATAAACCCTGAGAAGTTGAGACACTCGTGAGGAGGTGGCACTGTTGAGAATTTCTGTTCTCAACCTCGCAGCCTGTTGTACTGACTACATCAAGGTACAAGCTCCCTGGGTAGTTTGGTATTCTGTATGGGAACGTGAGTTTTAATTTAAACTTCACTCTCGTTTCACAGAAGAAGTCAAACTCTCGGTTAGTATCTGAGCAGAGCTGCGTCAAGGCACAGAAGGAGAGGTTGGCTCCAAGCATTTGAAAGGAGCTGCACTATTTGCAGATTTTAAAACGAGGAGATTTAATACTTATTCTTCCCCTCCGTGTGCCTAACTCATCCTCTGGCTCATTTATACTCTTACTTATCGGTGTACGTATCCCGTGCCTTGGCAGCATGAATGCCCAACAGAGTACCGCAGGAAGGCGCCTGGGAAGGTCGCCTCGTCCAGCCTCGCAGCAGGGTCAATGCTATTCAGAAGAGCATCTTGCTGTTTTGAAGTCAAGGCATCTGTAGGGGTAATTACCTTCCCCCAGGCATCTACAGGGACCCTCGCGACAGACTGTGCGTTTCAGCGTTTAACTTAAGTTTCCATTAGCAGAATTTTCCAAAGGTATCACAGCTAGCTTGAAATGGTATTGATAGATTTTACTTAAAATAGAAACATGCAAAATTATAACGTGAAAAGCCAAAAGTTAACCCCAGCCATTGAGAAGACCTGTTCCGTGTCTAGTCCTCCATTCATAGTTAGCAATTATGTAGTCAACATTTTCATGAGCAACAGATGGCGTGTAACACCACTTATTAAGCTCTGAAATTAAATTAGCTTTCTGTGCTGTGCTATTTTCTCACCTGTGTACAGATGCTGCCTCACCACATGTCAACAGTACGTCAGGCAACCAAGTTTTCCTACTTCAAAATATTAACTGTAGCCCAACCTCGCGATCGCTGTAAACCAGCTCAATTCCACTGAACTCAGTAAAATTACACACACGTACCCCAGCGGGGTTGCGGGACGCTGTTTATAAATAGCAAATTATATGACTGCGGCAAGTAATGTAAAAATTTTCCTCGCTCCTAATCCCGATGTGCTTCCTTGGATAGATGTTTGTTGGTTCTTGACAAACCTAGCATTACATCGGCAGCTTCGCACGGAAATATACGTACCCCGTGAAGGCACTATAAGACTATTTTCGGCAGGAATTTAGCATGGGAAATTCAAGGGCTATATTTATAATTCATCTAAACTAGAAAAGCTAATATTGAAACACAAATCTTTGCATCATATAGAGAACAATCTTTATGCTTCCGTGTAAACGAAAGCACCCAATCTGGAAAATTACAGCAGTTACCTTATTAACACACTGTGATTTACGTCAGTATATAAGTCAAAGCAAACAGTATCACCTAAAGCGACAAAGCGAAAAAGAAAGTACCAAACAATTATTTCTGCCTTTCCGCAGCGACAAGGCATCTTCTTTGGTCCTTTTCTCTCACGGTTAAAATTTTTGTGGTCGCGGTTTGCGATGGTTTAGATTTTGCGACTCAAGTGACAGTGCAAAGTCTTGGGTTTGCACTTCTCTACTTTCAGTCGGTTCTCTAAGTACGATCTTGGAGCTGTATACTCACATAATCCCTTTTTTTTATTTTTTAGGTTAATTCTGCACAACCTAGTCAACCATTTCCTATTCAGCACGTCAGTGCTTCTATCTATCCTTCCACTGATGTTCACGGTAAAAATTCTCCTTCTCGCAATCAGTTACTTGCTTCACGGTAACTAAGAGTAGAAGACAGAAGAAAGCGTATCGGCTCCCTAGGGCGTCTTTAGAAGATGAAGCTACTAGAATATAATTTAAATCAACTAAAAAATTTTCACATTAGAGTTTAGAATTGACACAGCTCTTACAGAAAGCATCACTGTAACTCGAAGTACATTGGGTGCTGACAGCATCCCACTGAGAAATCTCGCCGAAAGCTGGTATTTAGGGACTAAAATTTAAAACACGCGCTTTCTTCTTCAGTCTGTATCTTGTGTTGCAAAGGAGGGATAGGTCATGTGAAGACTTTTCAAGGGTCTGTTCTATACAGGTTCTTACGTGGAGCTCATCTAAGTACCACAAAATCCGTTCTTCTAATCTGGCACAGCCACAGAAACATGACTGCTGCTCAGGTTATTGCTACGGACCTGCGGGATAAAACCCTACCTCCTGTTTCCTTCTAATCACAGAGACGTACGAACTTTAAGTGAAATAACTACAGGAGGTGTCCTCATTTCTCCACGCTACGAGACTCGGCTCCGCCGAGGCATGCGGTGGAAGAGCTGGTGGCTCTTCTCCCACCTGCAGACACATGTTTTTTCATGAAATGGAAGAGAAATGCTCATATGCCACAGAGCCCAAAAGAAATCACACCAACTGGGCAAACATTCGTGACAACTCCATTAAGATTAAACTCTCGGCAATCTTGCACGTAGGTAGTAAATCATTTGTCAAAACCACCTGGTATAGACTGATGTTTTGCTAAGTCTAAAGCCCTGAAAATCAAAATAGTGATCAAGGCTATACAGATTTAAAAGTAAAGGAATGCCACGCACGCCCATGCATAAAGAGTTTATCTACATGAATGTTACGGAATACTATCGGTATTTTCGCTGTATTCCCCCAAAACACAGAACGCGGTGGAAACCACATCAGAAAAACGTGGCGAAAAAGAGAGGCTTTTTGGTCTGAAAGCATACTCTCAGCTACTTACTGCTTGGTAGAAGTTCTGGCCCAAAGCCCTGTGCAGAGCGGAGAGGGCTGAGCTCCAAGAGAGGAGGCGGGCGCAGCGTGGCCAAGGAGCAGAACCCACGGGGACCCTGTGGCTCTGCCAAAGGTACGGGGGACTCGGCTGGACGGAGCCGTCCATGCCCGCGAAGTCCGCAGCGTTTTCATAAAGCTCAGGTCGTGCTATAGGTTTGCCGCATCGAGGCCAGCTATGTCGGCGGCCATCGGTTCACGTTTGCGTCGTAGCTGTGGCGAGGCGTTGCTGTGCCCTCTCTCTTTAGGCAGCGTGCCCAGGGTTTGGGAACGCGCTAGGCACCCCCGCACGTGACCACAGAAATCCCGCGTGCACCGGGGCGCGCGGGACGGGGTGCATACTAAACACCCAAAAACCTACAAATACAGCGAGGATTAACCAATGCGGTTCAACTGCAATTTGTAAAGGGCCCGTACAAGGCTTATATCCCCTCTAAGTGGATCCTACGTCTTACAGGTCAGTGGCACTTGGCTCCGAGTATTACTTACAGTGAGAGAGACATCGTGCTCTCGGAGGAAAAAGATTGTGTGCTGCTTAATTCCCAAAGGCAGGAATTTTTAACACTGGCTATTCAAGAAAATCCCAACTGATGCCTAAAGTACAGATTCTTTAAGGTGATGCTTAAAGCACAAGATCAAAACTCTTTGAATAGTTTTGCGAAGATGTAGCCCTTATTTCTTTCAGCTTTAGAAATATTTTTATTCCCAGTGAAAAAGAGGATTTTAAATCTTGTTTATAGTCGCAGATCGGGATTTGCTCCCACCTAGTGGATACAACGTTTTAGAACTCCTCATTGCTCCCAGATTTGTTCTCTGCTCCGAGTTCCTTCACTGGCAGAAGACCAATAAGACGGAAAGCAGACGCCTTTCCCAGACTTGTGGGGCACAGTCAGACTCGCTCCGTGCCTTCGAAGAACTCGTACTCTATTTTTTCTACCAGCTAGTGATCAGAGTGTTCGGACTGCCATGAAGGACTTAAAAAACAAATAAACCCCAAACTTTATAGACTCGTGGACCCAAAGGAAGAACGGCTTTGTTGGCATAAAAAGCTTAAAAATCTATTAAAAAAATTCTATGGGAACAACGGACTGAGATTCCCAGGAACCTTATTAATGCTCTGTGGTTCCATTTTTATTTTTTTTTTTTTTCATTTCCTCAATTGGCAGGCTTGTACAACTTATCCTGGGATTTAGAGGTCGAGCAGGGTTTACTTTGGATTGACCTTCACCCCTAGCACAAGTTTTTGCCCATGCAACTTAGGCTAACATGCTGAAACCCCCTATTTCAGCACGCTTACAAGAGAGACCCCGGTGTGCAAGAAGCACCCATCACCTGGAGCTACGATATCAATCGTGTGCTGGACTTGAGCTGGAAAAAAGTGGGAGAATCTCCAAGGAAGGGTGTATTTTCTAGCCTGCAAGAGACGAACGGTGGTGTGGGGCTGTCACCTGACACTGTAATATCTTTAAAATACAGTACAAGCTTGGTGTGCACGCTACCTGCTCATAAGTATAGGCTCTGCCTCGTCTTGGAAGCCTGTATGCATTAACACAGAAAATTTAGCTGTTATTTAGACCTAAATAGACACCTGGGGGTGTTGGTTGACAGCCACCTGAACATGAGCCAGCAGTGTGCCCAGGTGGCCAAGAGGGCCAATGGCATCCTGGCCTGTATCAAGAATAGTGTGGCCAGCAGGACCAGGGAGGTGATAGTGCCCCTGTACTCGGCACTGGTGAGGCCGCACCTCGAGTACTGTGTTCAGTTTTGGTTCCCCTCACTACAAGAAGGACATGGAGGTGCTGGAACGTGCCCAGAGGAGGGCAACGAAGTTGGTGAAGGGTCTAGAGCACATGTCTTATGAGGAGCGGCTGAGGGAACTGGGGTTGTTTAGCCTGGAG